AAAAAAAAAAAAAAAAACTCCGCATGAGACCTGACCGTCCGTGATGCACCATCCCCGTTTATTCCCATTTTCCCAGCCGTCATAACGATCCCATTTTTTTGCCTTGTCCGTGTCCGGTCCCACCTTATCCTTGTCCTGTCTCACCATTTCCCAGGACGTGGATTCTTTTTCGTAAAAGAACCCAATGGTCTATAGTCTTCTCAATCACAATAACGCTCTCTTCAAAACATAAAACGTCAAAAAAGAATGGCACCCGGGATGGGGCCTGTAAATTTTAGTAACATTAGAGGGGTTAGGCGCTTATTTAGCCTCGGGTTTGCGCGCTTGATATATATGCAAGATGTTGTAAGAATGGATCTCCTTGTTAAACGCTTCTGATTTGACTTCCGCGGCGATTCGCTTGATGTCCTCAATGGGCCAGCCAAAGACACGCCTGAAAGGAGCCAAGCTGAGCGTCTCGATGCTTTCCGAGATGGCTAAATTGTACCACTTGGCTACTTTTCGCTCGTGCTGGTCCTGATGCCAAGGATTTAGAGGTAGACCGACCATTTGGTGATCAATGTCGGTAAACCCGGCTTCCTGTAGGTTCCGTATAGTGTCGCGCGCGCTGTGCGCTATGGGCCGCGCTGACTGTTCCGTTGCCTGTTTCAAGGACTGATACCAGCGACGCAGTGCGGAGTCGTCAAGGGAACGATCGTCACATCGGGGCTCGAAATCAATCTCGACTTGCTCGAACCACGCACCAGGACGGAGATGGGCGAAGATCCTCTGGTAAAGACTGGGCCAGTGAGCGATACTGCCACAGCCCATCTGCATATGGATGAAATCCCAATAATCCTCGCCCAAGGCCCAGGGGCTTTCAAAATCAAACGGGGCGTAGAAATCGCAGTTCTTCCTCTCAATGTTGGGTGGCTGGATGGGAGCCAAATCCACCCCTAGGACGAAGGCCTGCGGGTACTTATCGGCCACATCAATGGCCCAAATGCCGGTTCCGCAGCCCAAGTCGAGAAAACGGCCATTTTGAGGATGGGGCGCATAGATCAATCCGTCCGACACCCTCGCAACAGTAAAGAGTTTGTGGAAGATGTCGAGTCGATCTTGTTCCTGTTCGTCGCATGGGAGCATGTAGACACCCCTGCGGTATCCATGGTACGTCCGTCCATTTTCCTCGTGGAACTGGGATTTCTCGGGGCTTCTAGAGAGAGGAAACGGTGAGTCAGTTAACTTTGGGTGTGACGAGAAGAGCAAGAAAACAAAAGAGAGATACCTGTGGTTACTGGGAGAAGCCACACTGGGCGATGCATTGCTTCCCCAACGCCCGTTGGCATGTTCTCTTTCAGTAGGGTCTCGATCGGTGATAGTATAGATGTCCATGGCATCGGAATTATGTCTGGATCTGCCCATATCACTGGAGGACTGGGAACTAGGATGGTTAGGCGGAGAAGCCACGGTGGGAGGACGCTTTCCCGCAGAACCGTTGGCGAACATTTGAAGGATCAAGGATCAGAGAGGACGAGGTAAAGAGCTGTAGATCAGCCGACGGATGGACGGGTATGTTGCGGGAAAATTCTCCGATGGGTAAATCGCGAGACCGACTGCAGGATTATTTTCAAGGAGAGACACCAGATTGAATCACGACGAAGCGAATTTATGATGATGGTTATCGATGGTTATCAGTGTGCCGCGGGCCCTCGCAGCATGGATGAGGCTGAAGAAAGACAAAGACCCTCGGCTGGATGGCGCTAAGGAACGGACAGTTGGCCAGCTGGAGTTGCATTAAAGAGAAAATGAAAGATAGAGTGAAGGACAGACGAGTATGGTAGGATCGAAGAAGGTGAGAAGCGTTGGTGTCGGTGTCGATGTTGGCGGTACACTATGTGTAGCAGGAGGGGTGGTGGTCGGCGACGGAGAGTATATAATGGTATGCCGGCCCGTAACCGTTGGTCGAAAATGAACAGAGTATATAAGACGGAGACGCTTCAAAAAACGAGAAATAACAAGTGTCACAATAGAAATAGAAAGGTAATGGCGCTAAAAAAAAGAGGCGGGCAATAATTATATTTCACTGTGAAGAAAACACGAGCGTGCACCGTCGATCAACAGGAGAGGAAATTTTAAGAGGGCAATTGACGGCGGAGAAGCATCGAAGGAGAGAAGAGACAAGCAACACAGCCAAGGAACGTAACTGGAGAATTGGAGAGAGAAGGAAAGAAGAGAAAAACAAAATGAAAGGAGGGGAAGAGAAAGGTTTAAGGTTGTTTCCATCAGCTTGTTCCTTCGGGGTTAACTGACACTGCTGTCTTCTGGCTGTCTTCTTGTCGCTCCCGGGTTCCACGGGGCGGGGCAGATCGAATACTAAAAAAAAAAAAAAAAAAAAAAAAAAAAAAAAAAGAAGAATTGGTGGGACGAAACGAGGGATTGTCTGTGTGACTACTACTACCACTACTACCTGTCTATATGGTGATAGTTTCGGAAAAGTGTCTGGGTCGCCAGAATGATTGGATATGCTGCCATCTTGTTAAATCCCATTCTTGTCTCTACCCGAGTCTCTGGGCCTGACTGACTCAAGCAGCTATATGAGGTAGAGAAAATACGAAGCATTGTGTAAGAGACTTGTGATTAATGTACTCGGTAATACTTGAATTGTATTCTGCTACAGAGTACACTGCATGCTGCTATATCAAGCCTCCGCTATGACAGGTTGACTATCTGCAGTCAGGAGTTCCAGCCATCCGGGCAGAAGCGGCCCTCAGTCCGGCTAGTGCCCGAGAGTAACCAGAAAAATCCAAATTAAAAATTAAAAAATCATAATTTAGCGAAGAAATGGCCCGCATGATGGGGCTCGTGGTTACGTCGGTTCATCAGGGGTATCAGCATTTATTCTGCCGATACATGCTACATATCATGGAACATACAGGGTGCAACTACAGAGTACTCCGTATTTTCCATACCTGCCATATTTCGTCAAACGATCAACTGCATAATAACACCTCATAATAACACTTACTAGTTCAAGTACCGCCAAGTAGCTCACTGACTGATCACAGTTCACCGCTTCCCGACTCTCTGGGTCGCTGTAAGTAATCCCGTTACCGAGTTACCACTAGTTCTTTCCGGGTCGGTATCGGGGTTACCGCCCACTGTCACGATCCACTGCCGAAAATGGAACTATTATCGGTCTTTTGTTTGTGCATTAACTGCAGCATTTCGCAATCCATCGACATCAGCTCTACTCTTTATGCCATCTCGGGCATACAAATAATATTCAACAGTACTCTGGGGTATTCTGGCGGACAATCTTGCATCAAGAATGCCCAACCAAGCTGTCTGATGATCAGGGTTCATGAATCATGCTGGTACTGTTTCTCTGAACTGTCCCTCTCTCGTTCTTTCTTTCTTCCCTCCTACTCCCCAATTCTCCCGCAGCCCCATTGAGAAGTACGGTCATAGATTATGCTTTCGAGAATGATCGGAGGGGACATAACACGAGAAACATAACCTAGCCACGTGTCTCTACTGGTATGTATTCCTTTGGGCTCATCCCCAGTAGTGCATCAGTGCTTCGATCCAACACTACTATTGTCTTTTTTCGTCGTATTTCAGTAATGCCTCGAATACATCATACAGCTGCTATGTGAACAGCCAACTTTGTTTTTTCCCTTCGCCAACGAGCATCAGTTATTGCATATACGATGACGATCCCATGGGCTTTTCCGGCACTCGGAGTCCGAACATTCTCATGCTGAGTCTGCGGCATCCAGCTGCGCCGCCATTTCACGAAAACAGACGTGTTTCATGACCAATCACACTCCACTTCTCCGAGCCACGATGTACTCGGTACTGTGGACTCCATACAAGTTCTGGCGGTAAATGCAGTTGGGGGACACAAGCTCGACAGAGGACAACAAAAAGAAAATATACCATGACGAACACCCAACAACCGTCTGTAGGTTGCCACCATCGTCATCAGCGAGAAGTGCAAACTTGCAGGATACAGGAGCAGGTACGGAGTACGACGAGTCTATCCCTCGGGGTGCAGAATCAAGGGACTAAGACCGTCTGATTCGTCTGGGTGACGCTGCCTCCCAAAATGTCATTTGCGAAAACAATGTCAGCGCTTAAAGGGGCTGATGTCTTTATTCTCGACCATGAATGGCCATGCGCTTTGTGCTTACTCACGTTAAAGGGCGGATCAGGGCGTGTCAGATTGACTTCTTAGGGGTCAATCCGAGGTCAATCCGAGATACCCCTTTGGCAGTTGTGCATATGCAAGTCTGGGTGGAATCGTATCAGATTACAGTCTGACTTCACTAGTGCTCCACATACTACCTGTCGTCCTTGGCTGAAATTTCATCAGGGCCAGTGATTATCCTTTCTTGTCGGGAGTTTTTCCCATTCGCTACGCTCCACCATCCGGCGCTACCCTTGCGATCAGTCAATTGATTCAACTCTGGTTGAAAATTAATCACCTCCCTCTTTGATATGATGGCGGTAATTATAATAGATGAAGACGATGGTAGGCAAAGCTAATTATGGGGAGAAGGAAGAAGAGAAAAAGGATTTAGAAAAAAGGAACGACAGGCGGAGCATCCGTGTACTTCGCGTTAAGCACTCCTTCTTTCTGTTGTCCTTCCCGATTGTCATAGGATAATCACTTGACCATCGAAATTTGCACAATTATCATAAGTGTGGATATTGCTTTTTTCATTTGCCAAATCAGGTTGACTATTCACGACGCTAGGGCACTGGGCACAACCCCAATGCACAATGACCCATTTAACGGTGACGCCGGTCCTCCTCTCAAAGCCTCGTGGATGACTGACGTGCAGTACACGGTTATTGGATACATCATTCGAATCCCAACAGCTTGGGCCACTTCAACTTCAGGTCAAGACCCGTGGAGGAATGGCCATTTGGACAAAA